GCAGCCGCCCAGGATGGAAGTCTTTCGTGCTGACCCTTTGCACCTCCGGTGGTGTACAGGACCCTTAAGTAAGTAGCTTGGTTGGCAGCCTTGGTTCGCAAGGTTTTGTGTGTGCCCACCACCAGCACGCCAAGTGAACGAGTTTTTAAGACAGCTGGGCTTACCGTATCTGCATGTCGGTCAGGCATTCACCCTATCAATGTGGATAAAATAATCTCCATTCATGACAATTACAGTATTTGCAAAAATAGAGTTTTGCAGTAAGCAGTGGCTGTTAGGTAATGCAACAGATTGCTATTATATACTATCCACCCCTACATAACGTACTTTTCTTATACTTAACAAAAGGCTTGTAACACTTAGCCGTTTGACTCCACCCCCTGCAATTTTAACAAGCACTTGACATACTTTTATAAACAAATTATTCCGCATGCACGGCCAATGAAAACGCTCAAAATTGAGTAAAAGTTACTCATATTTGAGTTTAGGTTACTCAAATTCGTGAAAACGTAGGTCACTCATAGAATGAGTCAATTTCCCCACACTTTTCCGAGGAAAACTTCTCGAATACGAGGAAAACTGATTGTGGTTTTAGTGTGTCTACACTTCTAACCTGTGTATAATTTTTTTTAATTTTTCCCCATATTCGAGCAGTTTTCCCCGGGAAAGTGTCGGAAATTTTACTCATACTATGAGTGACCTAAGTTTTAGCGATTTTGAGTAATCTGAACTCAAATGTGGGTAGCATTTTTTGTCGATGTGCGATTGGTTTGGGAAGTAGGGTAGAGCACTACTTCGTCGTAATCGCCCATTTCCGTTCTATCGATCGGAAAAGATCAATAATATCAATGATTTCACCGTGCACAAATCAATAATAGGTTTGTTCAGATGCGTTAGTTCATTAGCTACAACATAAATCCTATTAGAGCGCATTGTATGAATATTCACAAAGAAAATCTAATGGTGTTTCAATGCGTTAGGACGGAATTGAAACTCGTAGCACGAATTTAGAATCAAGAAGCAGTATTAGATTTTAAACAATATCTCTACAATTTGTGACTCTTTATCAAATCTAACGGTACGCATGGAAAGGTGAATATTTTTTTTTGTTTAAACCCGTTCAAAAAAAAGGAGGTAAAGCGTGGGTTGTGCTTAGTAGGACGGAAATTAAATCAAAAACCTTATTTTTTTTTCTAAATCATTAAAAATAAACTCACGCCAACCAACGCCGCCACGCCGCCGCTGCCGAAAGCAAACGGCGTGACGCCGCAACGCCGCCGGTCTAGTAAAAATGTGGCATTTTAATTCATTAGTTTTAAGGTTTCAAAACCAGGTAAACTTCAACACGATGGCAAGACTTGATTATTTAAACAAGACTGGCAGTGTTTTGAAGTTAAAATTTAGTGAAACAGCTTTTGAAATGATTCAAAGTTTTACCGAACGTTCAGCTGTTGAAAGTTCGGTAAAATTTACCGAAGTCGGTAATAATTTCTTAGTACATAACTTGAATCATAGGTATCTTGAGCGAAGTTACTTTAAATTGATAGTTCAACAACTTTGATGAACATTTTGACAGTCTTTCGCAAATTACTTCAAAGTTGATATATGGATGTCACTAACCATAAGGACCACCCTAATATATTTTAAATCAATAGATTGGCTAAAAGAAACGAAAAAAAAAACTTTCGTTAAGATAGCATTGACCTACAACTAATGGCATAGGCAAAATGAAGTATTTTCCACTAAAGCTTCATTGTGCTGGCCACACAATAAACAAATTCATGCATTGGTTGGCATAGCAAGCTCTCAATTAATAACTGTGGAAGTGCTTCAAAGAACACTAAGGAAACATCACCCTCATAGCGTATTTTGTTGTACCTAATACATTTTTTAACTTGTGCGTTTATTTACTATGCTCAGTAGAGTGTGATACTCTGCGGAGCCCAAAAATCAGTAATGTTTGAATTTACATTTTATACAGCAGTAGTTCTAGGTTAGTTTTGGGTACCAATTACTCGTGGCGGGCTCGAGGTAAATGGGTAACAATTTCGATTGGAAGGAGCTAGGTAGGAAACTGATTTCTGAAGCCTCCTTCAGATACTACTCTCGGACGGTTGACCAAATCCTGGCTGGGCAGGGGCAAGTAGGATAATAAGACTGGGACACAATGGCTAGAAATTGTTTGGAAAGGAGGGGATGGTCACATCAAACTCTAACATCAGACAAACAAAGGAATTCGTAGATCGCCTGCATGTACCTCGGGCCACTAGGGTATCCAACAGTCGTGCTCTGGAGGCGTCATTACCCGGGCAATACCAAACTACGATGTGCGATATCGATGCCATCATAACCGGTTCTACACCTACATATATTGCTGTCAACGAGGTTTATCTGTAAAGATGTGCGTCTAGCGAGTAGTGGTAGGACATAAGTCTCGACATAACGCTAATCAAGCCCCGACTTACATCCAGACCTTTGAACCACGCTCTCGAAGAAACTTTTGGAATAATGGAATGTAACAACCGCCCAAGAGAATTACTTGTCCAATCGTTTTGCCAACTTGAAAGAAAACTCTGACGTACTAATGGGATAAATTCATCATTTGAAATTCTTCTATCATAAATCTCGCCTTGTTGTGCGCCCACCTTTGCGAGAGAGTATGCCTTATCATTGCCCGGGATTGAGCAATGTGAGGAGACCCATACAAAGGTAATCATACATGATCTTTCGACCAGCAAAGAACGCTTGCAGTTTCGTGTTCGTCGATATCACTGTTCTCGTCGTTGTCATCTGTGATGGCCAATATGAATACTTGGATAAATGTGTATTCAACTAATAACTCGAGATGTTCGAAAGCTAAGGAATAGAAACGGCTCATGAACTAGTCGATCTATATCCATGGTACTATGTCCCCGTGTCTATTCATAAAGTGCTCATACACGGGGCGAAAGTGACTTCTTCGTTTCTAATACCCATTGGGCAACTATCTGAAGAGGCCCAGAAAAGCAGAAACAAAGATACCAAGCAATACAGAACCCACCACACAAGAAAGTTTTCCAGAGAAGCCACGAATACAGATCTTCTTCACCGTCTTCTGGAATCATCTGATCCGTTAATTTCTAACATGAGGGAACTACCGAAAAACAAAAGTAAGGTGTGCTCCGGGGATGCTCTGCAATTTTTGGCCATCACAGACGACAACGGTGAGAACAGTGATATCGACAAAGAGGAAACTGCAAGCGTTCTTTGAGATTCGTACAATTTGAATCGGAACGTAATAATCATTAAACATGAATGATTTTGGTATTGTTTATTGACAAAATCGAAAAATATTTAAAGTACATAAGCGATTCAGTCAAGGGTCGTTTGGGGGTGGTCTGGTTTTGATCCCGAGTCATTTTGTTAGTCACTAGAAATAACCCAGGTTGCTTGGTTATCCATTTATATGCCTCTTTTCACACCTACTCGATAACAGTTCCGTGGTTTCACAAAATCTCCATTTCAAATTCTGAAAAGTGACAAGTTTCAATGCAAGTATTTCGGTTAAGGGTCACGTGAGGGCGGTCTGGTTTCTTCACTTTTTTATTGCATTTTTTTTTTTTATACTTTCATTGCTCAAGGAATGGCCTGCTCGTGTTTGCCCGTTTAGAAGTTACTGGTATTGGAAATTGGGTAATCGGTCAACCAAAAATAGAAATATTGTAGAAAAAGTTTCAGATAAAAAACTTATTTTAAAGATGTTTCCCTAAAAAAAAAACTTTATATCTCAGCAGTTCTAAGAGCAAGAAAGTTATATTCTTCAGCAAAGTTGTTCACAGTAATGTTCTCTACAGCTTTGCTCAGCGCAATTATTTTGTATCTAATCATATTAAAAACAAAAATTTGCCTTTCACTTTTAGGTTGATTAATATTTAATTTTCTTTTACCATACACACTTAATTCAGATCACCGAAGTCGGTAGGAATTTACCGGGTTTTTGAACAGCAGAACAAGTCGGTAAAATTTTCAAATGACCGTTACACGTGAGAAATCAAGAAAATTTATAAATTTTATTTTTCATCAATAAATGGGGTAAGTCGAACAAATTCTGTACAAGTTCCGAATAAATTTTCTAATAATTGGATTTTTCACTGATTTTTAAACTTTTACCGAACAGTTCTGTAGTTCAAAATTTACCGAACGATGGAGGCCTGGATTAGTGTGTAAGAAGGAGTTTTGTAACCCGAGAAACTTCACACAAGACACCTAATACCTGTAATCAACCATTCCAGCGTAAATAAAAAAGCACGTGTTTTGATACCCTTGGCATCACTGTGTGACGCCAGGAAGGCAGCTCCCACACCTGGACCCTACCTATCGACCCTTTGCTGATGATGCGGGGTGGGATATAAAAAAAATCCACTTTCTTGTGTTACGTAATATTAAAACGAACTCAAGTGAAATAGAAGTTTTTTATTCTTTATCGTGGCCTGTAACGCACCCATTATTTAACTTCCTGGCTTTGATGCTCTTACAGAGCTTTCGTCTGCTCTCAACTTAGCGTTCTTTGAAGCAGTTTCCACAGCTATTAATTGTAATCTTTCTATGCCAACCATCGCTTAACTTTGTAAATATATTGTACAGGCAAACTCCCCCTGGAACTTATATTTGTCTTCACAAAAGTGAATGAAAGGAGGCTTTTTAGTACGTTCATAGAAATTAAATAAAAATCTTCTTTGCTATGTAGAATTCTGATAATAAATGACAACCTTTTTGAACCTAGGGCGGTAAATCTAATCAAACGAATGATGTTAGCTCCATCTCTTTCACTATACATTATTTTCCCGTTCCACATCGAACTTAATAAAGTTACCATTTATAAACAAAACAATACATATTTCATAGACCATCAAATGCCTTCTGTACATAACTAAATTCCACTTAATTGAATTAAAGAAAGTGTCCCCAAAAATACTAATGTAACATAACTTTCTATGTTTGCTTTCTCCTCCCACCAACAGACAACCAATGATGACCCCAACCACGTACAGTTGGACGATGAAATGGAAAAGGTGTTCGGATCGGTCGGCTCCGATAAGGAGCGGTTCGAACTGAAGCGCCTCAACGATGAAGTACTGGTGGACAACTCGCCGCTAAAGTACGACGAATCGCACCGATCCGTGGATAATCGGCCACTACTTCCCTCGGCGAGTCATCGTCCCATGGATAACTCTCCCGGCGAGGGAGACGGTGGTGGAGGAGGAGGTCCGAGCAGTGGATTGCAGGACAATGGCTCCCCGCCGACAACCACGCCGACGAGTCCAATCTCGCTTTCTTCCAAGAGCGAAACGACCACCAAACCATCCAACGATACCACGCTGGCGGATAATACGTCCAATGATTTCAGCGAAGCCGTACATGATGAACCGGTGGTGGATCAGGGCATGCTGCAGGGCGAACAGTGGGTAAGTTGAAAATGAAATCAACTGATTGGAGGTTTTGGCTATAATATTATAAACCGTTTAGTCGGGCTTCGTTTAATGCCAGGGGTTACATCCAAATAAAATGATACGCTGATTTGATTTCGAGAGCTGTTTTAAAAGATTCTCTAAGAATTATACTATGGCTACCAGATAAAACTCGGTCAATAGTTACAGCGAATTATATTTTAAGGTGTTTAAAATGTATAAAATTTGGACACAAGAGCATGAAATGTACAATTGCTGAATAAGGATTACGTTACAAATTCATAATCAATAAAGAAAACTTACAACACTTTGTGTTCTGAATATTTTTTTAATTTTGATAAATAGTTGGTTAAAATTCAACTTAAATCATTATAATTATTCAGGAAATAAATTCGAAGTCTGAAGATTAAAATCAGTATGTTCTTCTTTTTTTTTTTTGCTTTATCTTGTCCCCACTGGGACGTGTTAATTTAAAGCATAATTGCTCAAAGAACACTAAGCTGAGAGCTTTCGAAAACTCCCAGTATAAAATTAATCTTCGATTATTTATTTAATTAAGTTGATCATTGAAGTGAAGTTAATGACCGTTTAATTTTAGTTTCTCATCAATCATTTTTCACTTTCACTAAGTAGTTTAAAATCGTACTTTTGAAACGTTTCTACTAACAAACGATGCATTCCAGCAGGCCTGGGTTCAATCCCAGTCGGCGGCGCCGGGATGTTCTAAATCATAATATCTCTATCTATGACGCCTTCCTTCGGAAGGGAAGTAAAGCCGTTGGTCCCCGGTTCATGAGTTGATGGGCCGATAGGTAGGGTCCAGTTGTGGGAGCTGCCTCCCTGGCGTCGGTAGCATTGGTGCTCAGCACGAAAAACAAATCAAAGAAAAACGATGCATTCTACCACTCTAAATGTACAATTGTGTGGAAGTGAAAAATATGCAACTTTTAAGTGTTCCTAAACAACCTACCAGATTCATAATTTATTCTGGTGCTGTGTTTGATGAAATTAATCATTTTATTACCTCTTAGTATGTTCAAACTTTCCTATAAACAATTAAATTGACTGCAAAGTCGCTAAACCGTAAATCAAAAAGTAAAAGTAATTGATATTCATCAACCACGGCCCGGTGGTCGGAGGTGAGGCCGGCAGCTCAAAATGTTATAGTCATACTGTACTGGACATATTTCAGCATGTAAGATGTACAACAAAAATGAGCTGTGTTTGTTCACATCGACTGATACTGAGTGGTTGCGGTACAAGCACATATCGACGATAATAGACGATTGTTGTGTATCAGAGAATGCTTGCGCAAAAAGACTAGGGTGGGGAACGGATTCGAAACTCAAATGTCATTAGCCAAATACATCCGTAGACCATAGGTCCACCGTTGTATAATTGGCAATGCACCCGTGTACTTAATGGGAATTGTGGGTTCGAATCCCACCGGTGCCCTTAGATTTTTTCGCAAATTTTCTCACACACACGTCTCTTACCGATGATATGTGCTTACCTCTCAGTATGTTCAAACTTTCCTATAAACAATTAAATTGACTGCAAAGTCGCTAAACCGTAAATCAAAAAATTAATCATTTTATTTAAATTTACTGAATCTGAATCTGAAATCAGATATTGTTAAATGAAAATGATCGTAAAAAATCCGACGCGTTTAAGCTTTTCCGGAAACGCGGAACACCCGAGTATTTCGAAGCGTACTCGACTCTTGAACACGAACTCAAGAGCCTCATCAAAGCCAAGAAACGCGGATACTGGCGGCAATTCGTGGACGGTTTATCGCGCGAAACGTCGATGAATACGCTTTGGAACACGGCGCGAAGGATGCGTAACCGGTCTTCAAACAACGAGAGCGAGGAGTACTCGGATCGGTGGATTCTCAAGTTCGCGCGAAAAGTATGTCCTGATTCCGTGCCGGCACAGATGATTCCTCGCGAAACGACGAATTCGGTAGACGAGATCAGCCAGCCTTTTTCAATGCTGGAGCTCTCACTCGCGCTCCTTTCGTGTCGCAATTCGGCTCCGGGGGCTGATAGGATCAAGTTCGACTTGTTGAAGAACCTCCCAGACGTCGCTAAGAGGCGCATGTTGAACTTGTTTTGTCAGTTCCTGGAGTTCAATATTGTTCCAGATGATTGGAGGCGAGTGAGAGTTATAGCCATTAAAAAGCCTGGAAAACCCACGTCAGATCATAACTCGTATCGTCCCATCGTGATGTTATCGTGCATTCGAAAATTGTTGGAGAAAATGATCCTTTTTCACCTCGACAAATGGGTTGAGACGAACCACCTTCTTTCAGATACTCAATTTGGTTTCCGTAGGGGTAAGGGAACCAACGACTGTCTCGCGTTGCTTTCCACAGAAATCCAGTTGGCTTTTGCTAAAAAAGAGCAAATGGCTTCTGTGTTTTTGGATATTAAGGGGGCTTTTGATTCAGTATCGGTTGAAGTCCTTTCAGACAAACTCCACGCTTGTGGCCTTTCCCCATTAATTAATAACTTTTTGTACAATTTGCTGTCAGAGAAACATATGAGCTTTTCTCATGGAAATTCAACAGCTTCTCGATTTAGTTACATGGGTCTCCCCCAGGGCTCATGTTTAAGCCCCCTTTTGTACAATTTCTATGTCAGAGAAATTGACAATTGTCTAAGTGACAACTGCACGTTGAGACAACTTGCAGATGATGGCGTAGTGTCTATGACAGGGCCCAAAGGGGTCAACCTGCAAGGACCCTTACAGGATACCTTAGACAATTTGTCTACTTGGGCTATCCAGCTAGGTATCGAGTTCTCCACGGAGAAAACTGAGTTGGTCGTTTTTTCTAGGAAGCATAGCCCAACACAACCGAAGCTTCAACTTTTGGGTAAGCCGATCACTCATTCCATGTCTTTCAAATATCTTGGGGTCTGGTTCGATTCCAAATGCACCTGGAGATCCCACATTGAGTATCTGAGACGAAAATGCCAACAAATAAGGATCAATTTTCTCTGAACAATTACCGGAACGTGGTGGGGAGCTCATCCGCAAGATCTTCTAACGTTGTACCGGACAACGATTTTATCGGTTTTAGAGTATGGTAGTTTTTGCTTCCAGTCGGCGGCTAAAACGCACATCATCAAACTGGAACGGATCCAGTATCGCTGTCTTCGTATCGCGTTAGGATGCATGCACTCGACTCATACGATGAGTCTCGAAGTGTTAGCGGGCATGTTGCCACTATCGGATCGGTTTTCGGAATTGTCCCTCAGGCTCCTCACCCGTTGTGAAGTTATGAACCCACTGGTAATCGAAAACTTTGAGAAGCTTCTTGAGCTAAACCCTCAAACTCGTTTTATGTCATTGTACTACGTGTACATAACTCAGGATGTCAGCCCTTCACAGCATAATCCCCATCGTGTATGCTTCTCCGACTTCGGCAATTCAGTTAGTTTTGATTTATCTATGACGCGGGAGATTCGTGGAATCCCAGAACATCATCGTTCCATGATTGTTCCGTCAATTTACGCTGCAAAGTTTGGCCAAGTTGATTCCGCAAGATCGTTCTTCACAGATGGATCACTAATAGAGTCGTCCGCTGGTTTTGGTATTTTTAACGAATTTCATAGCGCCTCTCGAATGCTTCAAGCTCCTTGTTCCGTATATGTTGCTGAACTGGCGGCAATACACTATACGCTAGAAACGATCGCCTCACTTGCACCAGATCACTATTTTATTTTTACGGATAGTCTCAGTTCTGTCGAGGCTATTCGATCCATGAGGCCGGTAAAGCACTCCTCGTATTTTCTCATGAAAATACGAGAGCTTCTAAGTGCTTTATCTATAAGATCTTTTGTCATCACCTTTGCATGGGTCCCATCTCATTGCTCGATTCCGGGCAATGAGAAGGCGGACTCGCTTGCAAAGGTGGGCGCTATGGAAGGCGATATTTACGATCGACAAATCGCCTACAATGAATTTTTCTTCATTTATCGTCAACAGTCGCTCGCCAGCTGGCAAAATAAATGGAGTGAAGGGAGTTTGGGACGATGGCTATTCTCGATCATCCCTAAGGTGTCAAAGAATCCTTGGTTCAAGGGGTTGGATGTGGGTCGAGACTTCATTCGTCTGATGTCTCGCCTCATGTCCAATCACTATTCGTTAAACGCTCACTTGTTTCGTGTTGGGCTGGGAGACAGCAATCTCTGTGAATGTGGACAAGGTTACCAAGACGCCGATCACATCCTTTGGTCTTGTGATGAGCATCGTGGAGTCAGATCTGAGCTGTGCGATTCCCTTCGGGCTCGAGGTAGACAACCTAATGTTCCAGTTCGGGATATTTTGGCTAGACGTGATCTGGAGTTTATGAAACTCATATATGTTTACTTTAAGAATACTAACCTTAGATTGTAAGTTTGATTAACCTTGTGTTTAGTTTGTGTATTGTGCGTGTAGTTTTTTTTCTAATGTTTGTTTTCAAGATGAATAGAAATAAGTTCATGTTTTAGGATTAATTAAATATTTGTATAATAAATCATATTTCAAACCTCCTTCTCCCTTTCCCCATCCAAAAAATTGTAAATCTCCGCTAACCTCGAGACGACCGCGAGTAATCGGTTCAATTCCTTTAACTCTAGATTTAAGACATTAATCATGTACAATGATAACTCGGCTCTGTAAAGTTTATTCGATTGAGCCTGTACAAATAAATTAATATAAAAAAAATGAAAATGATGAAATTTGCCTACATTTAGGCGTACTTTTAACTAAATAGTAAAAGACATTGCAACAAAATATGCAGTTTTATCGTAAACCTGTGTTTTAATGTTTACATCAGGTATAAATGCTAGCCTCTGAATATTGCATTGCATAAGAACCGGCATGATCAACTTCACTCCAGAATTGATAATTTGAATTTTTATTCTAATTTAATTCAAAAAAATAAACCAATTTCAAAATTTGATTCGTATATTAGAAAAGCATTTGCTAGTACAGATTTCAGAGGT